CTCTACCTCTAAAACTAATAATACATTATATGTTAATTAATTGAATTTAAATTTTAAAAATTAATTAAAAAACACAATCAGTATATATGGCCTCTCGCTTAAAATTTTAGTCAAAGACATTTTCATTGAAAGAGATTGTTACTCCAAAATTCAATTAAATTTTGCAATTCCACACTCAGCCCAAAAACCAAAACAATCAGAAACTGTTACCAAAGCAATCAGAAACTGTTAATAAATACTAGCATTTATGTAAATACTATGGAAAGACATTTATCTGAAAATATTTCTTTCAAAGGATGGTACAGTAATCTGATTAGCAAACTCCTTGTGAACGCCATTACACTTTCTGGTCTCTGTATGTAATGCTAGATATTACTGACACTTATCTCAACAAAGGCAAGACAACTGGCACACACCCAGGTATGCATCTATGAAGGGAGTTCTTTCTGCTAGAAAACAATATATAACTATTTGCATCACACCTACAATTCTAAAGGGGTAGTTTCCCACATGTGAGAATACATCTACAAGAGCCAAAGGACAATTTATACATCTTCTTTTCGGATGTCTCCAGCACTCAAGGAAATATATTACAGATAAAAACATTAGAAGACACCATTACGTCACCACATTGAATTGTATGCCCCTTGTCTTGTTTGAAAAGAGTAATTTGAAAAGAGCTATTTTTATGAGATATATAGAAAATCAAGAGAAAAAACAGAATGGAGCATAAATACGGCATTCAGTAAGATGCAAAATACCTATCTGTAGCAAAGAGAATTTCGGAAAAAGTATCAAGGAATTCATCAACAAAAATAACTTTCTTCAGTAGTTTCTTGATTTTGTGAATTCCAGAGACTAAAGATTTACATGCTCTGTGGTTTTTCCAAATAATTATTGTACTTGCCATATTGAGACTTGTGTCAAGAACTCAATAAATATTATTTCCTATTATTCTTAATATATAATAGCTACATAAGGAAGCTAAAATGAAACAAAAAACAATAATCTTCTCTGAAGTCTAATATTTTTTAGATTTCATTCTATATTCACATGCAGAGTACAACATGGCATAAAAAAGATTTCACTTTTTCTTTCTGAAAATTCAAATTTGTCTTTGGCTTTAAATTGGACATAAAAAAAACTCTTCAATGTATAAATATAATATCTTCATTTACTATTATAACCTTAATAGACAAATGAAATTGATAAGTAACCAGAAAACTCAACAAAATGTGATCACCTGTGATTTAATTACTAAGACAAATGGCTGAACCCTTGTTTAGATTTAGCTGCAGACACATAAAGTCAATTAAATTATTCTATGGCTCGGTTCCCAATCTACCAATAAAAACAAAAGTCATTCCTGCCTCCTGATCTCTAGCTCCACAGAAACTACTAAGGTAATATCAATGCTGTGCCTAAGATTAATGGAATAAAGCTCTCTCTATAAATCTAAGCTTAGAAAATTAAGGTTGAGCCCAAATACTGATCCTAAGCAATAAGGGAGATAGGATAATTACTGGGTGCCCAATTAAAATCAAAACCAGGAGCACCTGAGTGGCTCAGTCGTTAAGCGTCTGCCTTCAGCTCAGGTCATGATCCCAGAGTCCTGGGATCGAGCCCTGTATCGGGCTCTCTGCTCAGCGGGAAGCCTGCTTCTCCCTCTCACACTCCACCTGCTTGTGTTCCCTCTCCCGCTGTCTCTCTCTGTCAAATAAATAAATAAAATCTTTAATAAAAATAAATAAAATCAAAACCAAACCAAAGAAAATAAACTAGTAAGTTAAATATTCATTATTGGTTGGTAATCACCTTTGGAAAATTCTTCAACACTTGCTCCATTACAAATAATCCAAACATGAGCCATGCCTTACCTTGTTTTCTGCATAAGCAAGCCATCGGCTCCCAAGAGCAATAGGATTCATGTTGGGCCCTGGACAAGGATAGCAGCCTGAAAAATTTGAAATGGCAATATTGAGATATTTAATAAATTTTCTGTTGGTGCATCATATTTTGATGCCATAAAAACAAAACAGCCAAATGGTTTTATTTTTTCAAGTCTCACATAAAATTCCCATAAAACCAGTCATTATTTTAATAGCTAAGTGAAGTTCTTTTTTTTCTCCTCTACAGTTTCCTTTTGGTTTGATGCTGTTCCAATAAGAAACAAATCTGGGAAGAACCGGTAATAACTTTTAGCAAAAACTGGGTATTTTATACAGTTATTCCTAGAACAAGAAAGAGAAGCTAAAAGGAAACAAAGTTTATAAGTCAAGCGATAGTATTGAGAGGAAAGAGAAAGGATACAATTTGTTCAGGAATTTAAAGGCAAAAGATAACAAAGACATACATCTAAAAGGAAATGATACACTGGTGGGAAGAGAAAAACAAAACAAGTATTGAAGTAAGGCACCAATGAAGCAAAGTAATTCACAGAGTGCCTCCATAGAAAGATGATGGAAAACTAATGTACATACTCCTATGTATTTACATTAAGCACTCAATTTCATTCTTCTTGTTTTCATTTCAGTCCAGCCAATAACAAGCTAGTAGGAAGGATTGTTTTGTGGTTCTCTCCTTTCAAGAATAAATCAGTCATGACAGTGAACACCTTCGATGCATGGAAACTCCGATACAATCTTCCTGAACTCTACTAACCAAGGCACAACACGATTCAGTCAAGTAAGTGATGTCTGTCATCCTAGAGCCTCTCCCCTCCCCTCCTGGCCAAGCCAATAAGGTCTCTGAGTCTAATGCCCTCATCTGTCAACTACACAAAATAATATTCCACTGTCTCACAAAGCTTTAGAGGGACTACTCAAAGGCAACTACAGAATCAGACAATCAGATAAAAAGCCTAACGTAAAGAACTGGTTTATCATTCCACAAGTATCTGGTTAATATTTTTACAAATGTTTTCTTCTAAAAGGTACACTAGAGGATCAAACTGAAGTATTTCGTCTAAAAGGTACACTAGAGGATCAAACTGATCTAGTTCACAGTTTATGTCCCAATTTGGAATCTAAGTTTATACAATCATGAGACAGACAAGATTCCATACAATAATCTTTTCTTCCTGTAGCAAAATAGACAAATTACATGAATCATATGAGCATAATAGCAAAAAAATAGCATGACCTGAATTGTAAACTGTACACCTGACAATTCCCTACACAGTAGAAAGTCCCAGTCTATGTTACTGGTCCTAAGAGATATAGAGTTACCAATATATGATCATGTTTTATGCAAAAGCATACTTAATAATGAGAAAAAGAACAATAATGAACTACTTTAAGATTTACTTTCAATAACAAAAATAATTTATATGTTCTGTGATATATTATTTTTAAATTTATTTGGTCTTCCTCCCACTTGATTAAAGGGTATGTAAGAATTTGTTGTGTTCACTGCTGAATCTCCACTGCCTAGAATAATACCTGAACACAGCTTAATAAATATATTCGAACAAATTTGCACCTAAATGAAAGCATGTTTATATGACCCTGGCAAAAAAGTCATCTACATAAAAAAACTTTTCAAATACTCAAATAGTGTGCTGACCTAAAAGTCAGATCTTTCATTTTAAACTATTTTTTAAAAAATAGGAATCTTTTTAAAAAAAATAGGTATCTTTCTTAAACTTGTATCTCATGTTGGGTCACCTGGGTGGCTCAGACAGTTAAGCTTCTGCCTTCAGCTCAGGTCATGATCTCAGGGTCCTGGGATCGAGCCCCGCATCAGGCTCCCTGCTCAGTGGGGAGTCTGCTTCTCTCTCCCTCTCCCTTCGTCCCTCCCCACTGCTCCTTCTCTCTCTCTCAAATAAATAAATGAAATCTTAAAAAAAAAAATAAAAAGCCATGTATCACATGTTTTCTGATTCAGAAAGCCTTGTGTGTAGCAATGTTTGGCATCCTAAAATGCTAGTGTCACGGTGTTCACGGGCACTAAAGAAGCACACACTGCTGCTGCGTCCCTCACACAGTAGTTTTCTTTCTTTTTTTTTTTTTTTGGCTTTTCTACATTTTAATTTTATTTTTTAAGATAATACCATAGAGAAATGCAACTGTTTTTTTCCTTACAGCATTTTTTAATTTAAATTCAATTAGCCAACATGTAGTCCATCATTAGTTTTGATATAATGTTCAATGATTCATCAGTTATGCATAACACCCACACAGTTTTCATTTGAGCTCCTTCAATCGCCATCTATTTTGAGTTTTCCTTTTTTTTTTTAAAGATCTTATTTATTTATTTATTTATTTATTTGACTGAGAGAGACAAAGTGAGAGAGGGAACACAAGCAGGGGGAGTGAGAGAGGGAGAAGCAGGCTTCCTGACGAGCAGGGAGCCCGATGCGGGGCTCGACCCCAGGACCCTGGGACCATGACCTGAGCCGAAGGCAGACGCTTAACCAACTAAGCCACCCAGGTGCCCCAAGTCTTCCTTTTTAAAGAAGATAAAGAACTTCTAAAGAAGATAATGGCCCTAAGAAAAAGTCCGTATGTCATATGAAATACAAGGTATGAGCTTTCTAATTTTTTACTCATCTTTTAAAAAAAAAACCTTTTTGTTTATTTCAGGGTTTAAAGGGTTCTGTTTGGGATGTTTTGGGTTTTGGGAAAACTGACCTCTAGGTAACTTCGATATTACTATACCCACTGATGCACATTATGGACACATATTATGGACACATACAAAGAATAAAGGCACACTTAAATAGTGCAAAGACAATACACTCCAACATATGTTGTACAGTATTTACATAGATTTTATTATTACACTCCCACTGAGTAACCTAATTCATACAAATATTCCATAGATATTTTCAGAGCTGAAGAAATGCATATAAATATGGCCTATAAGAAAACTTCGCCCTTTTAAATATTTTTTTGGAAAATTTCCCCCTTTTAAAATGTCATGAAAAAAAGAACCAAATGAAAAACAGAAATAAATACTTGTGAACTGCAGCATTACATTAGAGGTAACTAATCTCCTAAACTTTAAAGTCAATATAATCTCTCAATCAATTCTGGTATTCATCTCATCTCAATAGATCTTAATAAGTATATTCTCCATTCCAAATACTAGAAGATAATACTAGAAGATACTAAGGAAAAATGTAGTTCACAATTCATTTCACTTTTTGAGTCTATGTTTTTCGAAACTCAGTGGACCTCAAGAATTATAGTGTATTGGAATGAAAGCAAATTGTTTTTCTGCTCTCCAAAAAACATTTTACAGCTGGAATCAGCAGACCATCAGCCACTGAGCACTATCCCAACTTTATAAGCATGACTCCTTTAAAAATTAACCATTGCCTCCAGCTAAACTTTGAAAACAAGGAGGGGGGAAAAAACCCAAATCCCTATAATACTAGGACTTAATTCTAACATGTTTACAATGTTTGTGAACAAAGTAAGAGAGGTGGATATTAAAAAACAAAACAGAACAAAAAAACCCCTGAGATTTCCAAATTTAAATACAGGTAAGATCCAAGAATGGCACACTCAATGAAGATTCCTCCCTTACCACAGAAATATTTTAAAAGGCACAAGAGACTGATGTAATTTTTGATGGCATCCTCCCTTAATGTTGGTCCCTAGCGGGGAGGTGACCTGACCCTATTTTGAAAAACAAAGGATTCAACTACTCTCTGTAATACTCTGCCTAATTTTTCTTGGTAAAGATGACTCAAAAGGTTTCAGACTGTTTTGAAAAAACAGATGTCTATATTTATGGTCATCTGACTCTCAAAAAGGGTAGCAAGACAAGACAATGAGGAAAGAATAGTCTTGTCAACAAATGATGATGGGTCAACTGCATATCCATATGCTAAAGAATATAACCCTGACCTCACACTGCATACAAAAATTAACTTGAAATGAAATCAGACTTAAATGAAAAAGTTAAAAGTCCTGCTCTCTTCCCCAGCACCACCTGCAGAGGTGGCAGCCATTTCCTACTTGGCAACATGGCCACCCTCAGACCTCTGGGGAAGCCCAGTTATTATTAAAAAGAGGACCAAGCAGTTCATCCGGCACCAGTCAGACCAATATGTCAAAATTAACTCAACTGGTGGAAACCCAGAGGCACTGACAACAGGGTGCACAGAAGATTCAAGGGCCAGATCTTGATGCCCAACAATGATAATGCAAGCAACAGGAAAACAAAGCACATGCTGCCCCAGTGTCTTCTGAAGTTCCTAGTCCACAATGTCAAGTGCAACAAACCTTACTGTGCAGAGATGGCTCACAACGTCTCCTCCAAGAACTACAAAGCCCCAGGGAAAGAGCAGCCCAGCTGGCCATCAGTCACCAATCCCAATGCCATGCTGCGCATCCAAGAAAATGAACAGACAGCTTATGTGCACATTGTATTTGTATTAAAAATAAATAAATAAATAAAACTATCAAAAAATGTTAAAGTACTAACCTCTTGGAACAAAACATAGTGGTAAATCTTCATACCCTGAGATTAAGCAATGCTTCCTTAGATATGACACCAAAAGTGTAAGTGATAAAAGAAAAAATAGATAGGGGCGCCTCGATGGCTCAGTGAGTTAAGTGGCTGCCTTCAGCTCAGGTCATGATCCCAAAGTCCTGGGATCGAGCCCTGCTTGGGGCTCCCTGCTCAGAGGCGAGTCTGCTTCTCCCTCTCCCTCTGCCCCTCCCCCCCATTCCTGCTCTCTCTCTCTCTTTCTCTCTCAAATAAATAAAATCTTTAAAAAAAAAAGAAAATAGATAAATTGGACTTCGTAAAACTAACACGTTTGTGCTTCAAAGGACATAACTAAGAAAGAAAAAACAGAATGGAGTTTTATAAAACATATGTCTGATAACTGACTTGTATCCAAAATATAAACAGAACTATTACAACTCAAAAAAGAAAACACAAATAACTCATAAATTTTAACAAAGAAGATATATGCTAGTGAATGAACACGTGAAAACA